CGGCGAAAGAAATGCGCTGTAATTTTTCGTAGTTCCGAAGGAATCCGTTAGCGTTATAATATTAATTGCATTAGGAAATTCGTGTTATCTGAGAAATTCTCAACTTTCTACGTTCAACACATTCCACATAAATAACTACTTGCGGCGGCTATTCTATTCTCGCGAATTTTCTCGCGCGAGGTAAGGCTAGCGACGCTATATTTACTTCCGTGTTTGCTTTCGGTGTTTCTTCCGGCGTGTCCCGAATGCTTGACGATACCGCGCACTTAATTTTGCGCCGTGATGTTAGCGGAGGGCAGTAAATGCCTCACTCGTGTATGTCCCTCAAGAATTTCCCCTAACTTCGCTCCGACTCAACGAACCTACCCCCTTACGTTTTATTTCACGGCGCGTCCAATTACGCGCTTACTGTTTACATCCCCTTTATCTTTAATAGCTCTCTAGTACAAGACGATCTGTCCATCTGGTCGAAGAAAAGTAGGATTTAACAGCGCAGCAAGTTTCGCGAAAATAAAATCTAGAGGAAAGCTCGTGTACTCGCAGATGTGCACGAACGACGGCCCGCGCCATTTCTCCGCCTTAGAAGTGGAACATGTACTAACTTCCGTAACTTCCGTTACTTCTCATTTGTGAATCGGGCATCAACGTGAAAGTCCTTTAATTGTTTTACAGAGCGCCGTATTTTTAGGAAAGTTTCAAATTGCTCAATGCAACCGACTATAAAATTTAATGTTTTCGCAAAACAGCGCAGAGAAACTTTCGATTTACCTAAATTTCAAATTTTAATCTTTCAAAAACGATATCCTTGTTTCCTGAGAAACAAGGACACAGCTCGAAGCGCGTTTACTTTCGCATCTGTTACGGCTAAGATTTGAAAACCTCGTTAAAAAACGGATTAACGAAGATTAAGAGATTTCGCATCGTCGATCTTACCCCCCCCCCTCCCCCCTCGTGTGTATTCGACGAACAATATGTTCCCACGATAATTTAATAAAAGTGGCTCGATCGGATTTCAGTTTAGCCGCGTTTCGGAATCGCCGGGAACAGAGTCATTCAGCCTGGAATCCCTTTGAATCGCGACGCACACGGCATAATTGAAGAGCCATGCCATGATCGGTGTGTGCGTGGGCGAGATGGCGTTTGATCGCGTAACAGCGCGGATTTTCGCGCGGATATATCGCGACCGGACGAGCGACGGACGGCAGACGACGTCGCGGTTGCGATCTCGTCGAAAACGTCCCTTTTTTTTCCGTTCCGGAAGCCCAACGAGATGCATCGCATCGGCGAGCTGCCGTGTTTTCGTCAACGTCGGTGAACGCCAATCATGCCCGCCGCGCCCCGGTTGATCGAACGCGAAATTTCATCGGTTCCCCCCCCCCCCTTCGAGTGGCAGGGCCAGGTGTAATCGCCCTTCGTCCGCAGCATCCGCTGACATTAAACACCGGCGGGCGAGGCGCGTGCCTGAAAGCCGGTCCGCGAGAATTATAATCCACAAACGGGGAGCACCGCCCGGCCGGATATTAGCGATCGTTTCCCGCACACCTGACCCGCGCGTTTAATCGCGTCACGTTCCGTTTTCTGGTCGGCGCGCCTCGCCGACGCACGCATCGATCTTGCGACATTAAACTGCACAGCGAGGAGCTATAGTGATCTCACTATGACGGGGGGGGAGGGGGATTGTCGATGTAGCGGACGACATAATTGTCCGATCATCGATCAGATAAATTGCCCGGAAAAAATTTATGCACGCGTCACACCCCGGCTGTCGTGCGTCACTTCCCAATAATCAGCACGCGGTAATGCGGCACGCATAAAACGTCAATTTCGTAATATATCCGATTTCGTATCTTTCAAGCTTCTCATTATTTGTATATTAATATTCCCAAAGAGATTAACGTACGCGATTAATCAACTCTTCTATATTCTCGCTGATATCTCCACCAGGTACAGAGAGTCAATTTCAGTGCTTTGGCGAAATTAAGCGTTCCCTTTTTAATTGAATTTCAGCGAGTCTAACCGAAGGGCTCGAGAGTATTCTATTTTTGTGGAGTCATACATACTTGAGAGCGAATGTAAAGGATGTACGGGAAAGGAAACGCGGGAAAGGAACACGTGGCTATCCATATTTATAGCGAAGCTTGAGCACGTATTTATAAAAGTCCTCCAGAATTTATGGGAGTTTATGGGTTGCTCTTTGGTTCTACCTTCCTAACGGATACATCATGATCTACCGCGAAATCAGTTGTATTGTAAGCATTAGAGCAGTTGAAGAGGCCGAATGTCGTCCATGAAAAATTCAGAAAATCCGCGGAACACGGAGAAAGTAAAGCCCTGCTTAATATGAATGTCGCGTTTTACAGAATATGATTCCTCCATTTTTCTCGTAGCCACCTCTTTTCTATATTTCATAGTCCTTGTAATCAGGTTTTGTACACGATTTTCTTCGACGCATCGCTGAAATGCCTCGATAACATAAATTTTCATTACAGCGACGAGATTCTCCGATATAAAAAGACCGATGTACATTACATTCCATATTTAAAGAGACGAAAAGTACCGAACGAAACTTAAAAAAAAAAATGTGTGTCGACAGATAACAATTGGCAATGACAATTACGCTTTCGAAAGTGTAAAGTATAATCGGGCGGATGTGGAAAAACCTGGCAGCGCGGCAGATTTCTTTGACATTTATTTGCATGACGCCAATCGTTAATATCATTATCTTTGCAGATAATTGCATTTCGTATCGCGTAATTAAATATGGTATCGCGTTCGCGATACGATATATTTCGCTCCGTGCCGCATTTATTCACATATAGTAAAAGTCGCACGTACCTACGATGCTAAAATTCAACCGCCGCGATGAGATTTTTGCAATTGGACGTTAATGCAATTTAAATGAGCGCGATCGAAAGCGCAATATGCCAATATCTAATCTGGAAGATACTTATTTCCGGACAACGGAAAGAGCCTTCACGCGCTGCGGCGCGATAATACTCGTTATCGCTCATATTCCTTCGCAATCTGTTGCACGGTTTTAAAAAACTCGTTACATGATGTTGAATACGCACTTCTATTTTTATTTAACGCGCTATTGACGCCATCGAACATTATGTTATTGCGAATGAAGCCTATACACAATCGATATAATCTCCCCGTACGTATCGAGGCTTTGCCATTTGTTTTGTTTTCTTTTTTTTTTTTACGGAGTGGAGGAGGGATCAGAGGGGGTGGGGGAAAGGGGGCATTCTCGGGTGAAGAATCGATAGCTGTCATTAGGACGATGTTAGGGGAATGAAAGCAAGTCGATTTTAATTTCGGGCGCGGGCGTCGATACGTTTTTAATTGATACACGCGGACAATTGCGAGTTGACAATTTATTAGAGGTGTGGCGTATATAGTTCGGTGACCATTAAATGTCATCCGCCCCAAACGGAATGCGTTATTAAATACTTGTAACGCATGCGCGAGCGCCGATCATAAATTGCATAATTACCGATCCGTGCGATCGTTGCGTCGCGTTCTCAAAATTCGCGCTCCGTCACGCGCTGTCAATTTTCATTAAGTGGAATCGACGCGCGTCGCGATTTTCTCGATTGCGTGATTTTCAGCAGCCCCAGCTTCGACGTGTAAGCGCGAGCGTGTAAGCCCATCGTATTTATTCTCGCTAATCAAAGGTCGGCATAACGCGATAGAGAGGCGGGATGTTGCATGACCGCGTTTACGAGTGATGTAAACGCACGAGATGAACCTCGTGAATTTCCGGTTTAATAAGTCAAGAAATAGTGGCAAAAAAATGCCATCAAGGCTGTTCGTTTACTGTCGAAATTACTGTCGTCGAATTAAAATTCCAACCGCTTTTCTGACGCTATAATTCGCCATTAGTCCGAATTAAAATTCACAAAGTTCCCGCGCGCGTTAATAGCTGGCCGCGCGATGATGCATTAAAAAGTTTTCAACATGCTAATGATGGTATTAACGGGTTCTTGGCTTTTACCTCAAATGCGTGCGATGTTTGTTAATTACCTGAATATCTTGTTTGTATAAAGTTACATAAAGTATAAGATGTTGTATCTATGTGCGCGAGTAATTAGTTGAAACGAAGTTCGACGTCGGAGGATTGTTTCGAATTCGATTCTGATTTAATCTTGCGCGTTTCTTTCCTTTTTACTCTCTTAAAGGTAAAACTACTTTTAAAACTTTGTCTTCACACAATATTCGAGTTAAAAAATTATCTGGCCCGCGAAACAGTTTTTTTTCTCCCTTTCTCTTCTAAGCTTATCTTTAACGTGATAAGGCGATTAAATTTTGCATAGATTTTCGACGGGAAGAAAATGATTATAATGGCAATTATTAAAAGTAGTTACGTTTATCAAAGGTATAAATGAAGACCGATAACGATATTTTTTATTACGTTAAACGACCGCCGTTACCTTTCGTTATCTTGATTCGCGAGTGACCCGCGCAGTAAAAAGTTTGCGCGCGAAATATATCACCTCGCGGGAGAGACATTTATTGCAAAAAGTATTTTTATATTTTTCTTAAGGGATGACACCGTCGGAGTGTATCAACGTGAAACTTATCACTATCAAAAGCCATCATTTTCTCCCGCGCCATTCTTACTGCACCATTAAATGCAACCCTCACTAATGACGTGTAGCGGTACGCGAGCGAGGGCACTCGATGGATACTCTCCACGAAAGGCACCCCCGGGTTCCAAAACTAAGTACTCCGACGGTCGACGTCGTCGCTAATGGACGCTAACTTAAGGCCCTCGGGGGTGAGGTTTTCCAGCGCGCTGCGGCTGATCTTGGTTAACGTTCTCCACTTTGCACTCCCTCCCCTTCGTCGTTCCCATTTACTTCGCTTTCTTTCTCTTCCTCTCTCCCCCTGCCCGTCCCCCCCCCTCTCTGTTTCTCTTTTTCGAATCGAGAGCGCTCAAATCAAATCCTCGCCTCGTCGCCGAGTGCGCGCGACTTGAAAAACAATTGAAAACTCACCGGGAAAACTCGAACCGGGGCCGGGATGAGTCGGGGAACGTGGGTCCTCCGAAAAGTATCCCTTTCGCGCGTTGCGCAACGTACGTGCGGAGTGCGGAGTGCGCGATGAAATTATATAAGGGTTGGACGGTCGCAACGGGCCGCGCGCCTCCACGATACTGGCCGGCCGTACGTCTCGCGGCACTCGCCTCGCGACGCCGGCAGCCCAGAGCGCGTACTCCAGACGCCGACCTATCGCGGCTCGTCGCCCCCAAACTCGGGGTCCACCGCCACCCCGGGGTACACTCCGCCATCGGCTTTTCACCGAAAGTGCCCCCGGAGAGACGGAACCGGAAGCGAAACCGAGAATACCGCGATCCCGTTCCCAGAAAGCGAGAAAAAGGACGAAAAAGAGAGGGAGGGGGGGGGGAGAGAGAGAGAGACAGAGAGAGAACCGATGCGAATTATTTGAAGATAATCTCGCGTCGCGTTTGAGCGCAAGCTGTGAGCGCAAAGAGATGAAATTCATGAATTTCTAAAACTCTTCTCTTTCGCGTAATACGTGACGCGTAATAAGTCCCGTATCATGTCCGGGATTTCGAATCTATCGACAGTTTTATATATATTTTTCCAAAAAAAATGTCATATATTTTTTGAAACAGATTTTTCCAATTTCGCACTCCCTGAACGATATCGATGGAAACACGTATCTACTATCATTGATAGAGATAATCCGGGACGCTGTGTTAACTCTCATCAAACTGCAGATTTATAAATATTGGAATTGCGAATTTTTACGGGAGGAAAAATTGTGTTTACTTAACGCTCTCACTATCTATTAATATTTTGACTAAATTAAGCAAATATACGTGCACGTACATTTATTTGCTTAAACTGTTAATTTAACATTTTAAATATCTCATATATCATAAATATCTCATATATCATTTATGTTTGAATAGCTTCAATCGCCGCCAAGTACCGAGAATATAAATTAATGCATCTCGCCAATTAAAGATTATAAATATCAATACTTAGATATTTGCTTATGCAAATAAAACAGCTGTCAAGGTCCTCCGTTTTCTTTTTTTTTTTTTCTCTGGTGTAAATTATTAATTCGACAGCGGAAATGTTTAATCTTCAGACAGCCATTCATTATATCTCGATAATTTTGTAACATGCCGTTTGATTGCTCATGACAGTCCCATTTATATGCATTAAAATCATACGTATGTGACTTTTCTTTTACTGCCTGCCACTCAATTTTACATCGGAATTCAATCTCGAGTTTGTCGATTGTGTGTGTGCGATCGTATGCGTTTTATTCGCTTTCCGGCCGCTGTGGGATATATCAATCTCACGGTCAATAATTTTTATCTACCGAAGAGTTATTTTGTACCTGTCTATGAGCAACAGAAACCATTTCTATTATACTTCGAAATGAATGAGATATTTCTTAATGATTTACAGCACGACAAAGGAGTAGCTTTCGGTTTATCATTCGAATTCTTTGCTATTCGCTATTTCGATCAACGCTTACGAAATTTTTTGTCGATAATCGAAATCGTAGAAAATTTATCAAAGTCAAAGTGCATCCTTATTTCTTTCAAATTAAGCATTGGCGTTCGAGGTGCTGACAAATCGACACTAAAAAAGCGACGTATCGCGATGCTACTGGTGAATTGTGTTTTCCAACAAATTGATCCGCCTGTATAGAAAATGACACGCGAAATATTGTCCTCAAACGTTCACGTGATCGGAAAAAAAAGTGCCAGCCATAACTCAATATTGCGGGACGGGAGGGAAGGATGTGCGCGTTTCTGATTTATTGATACGAGAAAAACGTGGAGCTTTTTTCATCTTGGACAAAATGACATTTGTATACTTCAATTCCACATCCATGAGGATGAGTGATGAATTTTGAAATGGATTTCGAATTAATAATCTTTCGTATGTTGATGTTACAGTCGTCGTCGCATACAAGAATTGTTGCTCTCTGCGCGTGAAATTCAGTTGCAATAAAATTCGACGGTGAATTCCAACGGTATAAAAATTACGTAGCACGTGAACCAACGGTAATTACGCGCGACACATGCGTTTCATAACGATTCATTATTTTACGAAATAACATAGCTTTTAATACCACTGCAATTTCAATGGAATGCACTCATATAATGGGATATAGATGAGACTGAAATTATTTATACGTTGCGATCTCTCTCTCTCTCTCTCTCTCTCTCTCTCTCTCTCTCTCTCTCTC